GGATAGAGTGAGAGAGAGAGGGATAGAGCGAGAGTGAGAGAGAGAGAGAGAGAAGGGGGAGAGAGTCGGTAGAAAACAGCACCTGTAGAGGAGAAATGGCCGCACTACTCACATTATCTTTTGAATCATCAAGTCGTGTCATTAAAAGAAGCGGGCCATTATTGTGCGGTCAATATCGCTTTTAAAAACTAGTCCGTTACTTGAAACTTGTTGTAAATAACATTTATGAAGAAAAGTTTTTTTTCAATCTAACCTCAATTGTTGGGTGGAAAAATTTGATTAAGTTAAGACTAATTGAAACAAACTGCTGTGCAAAGTATGGGTGACATCGATTCACCAGTTAAAGAGATATTTGTGGATAACTATAACTGTGCTCCCAAGCAAAACTTCGAGCAATGCAGCAAAGAAGAAACCCAAAGCCCCATACGCGATGAGCCCAAAGACTCTGTCACGGTCCTTCAATCCAACTATAAGCATAAACAGCTAACCAGCACTGAGTATCGCATCTTTGTCTTTTATGCCTGCAACTGATACAAAACTTCTTGACTTTGTATCACCTTCACTCCGTTCTGTATTTGAACACTTAATTGATGTATTCTCTTTATTTTGATAATGAAACTGTCGTATTCTAACAGAAAGTGATGATGATGATGACGATGATGATGATGATGATGATGATGATGATGATGATGATGATGATGATGATGATGATGATGATGATGATGATGTACCAACAGCCCTCCACTCCGAATTATAGAGGCCATGCCGAGCATGCTTGGTCCAGTGAACAGTTTGAACAGATGGACTAAAGTCTGCATGTTGCTGAAGAAATAAAACAAAGCATTTTCCACGATAATTTTGTGTTATTTGATTAATGAATTATAATGAGTATGTGCGTATTTTCTGTGTGTATGCGATTATGTATGTAATTGTGTGTGTTTGTATGTGTGTATGTGTGTGTGCGCGCGCGTGCGTGCGTGCGTGTGTGTGTGTGTGTATGTGTGTGTATGTGGTAAGTGTGTAAGTGTGTAAGTGTGTGTAAGTGTGTATGTGTGGGTGTCTACATGAGTATGTGCGTGTTTGTTTGTGTGTGTGTTTGTGTGTGTGTGTGTGTGTGTGTGTGTGTGTGTATGTGTGTGTATGTGTGTGCGTGTGTGTGGTGAGATGGAGAGAGAGAGAGAGAGAGAGAGAGAGAGAGAGAGAGAGGGGGGGTAGACAGAAACAAAAACAGAGAACGAGAGAAAGAGGGACGTGGGGATATTGGAACGGGGCATAATTCACGAATAATTCAAGCAAGAATAGGAAGAGAGGGGACAGGAGCCGACTCTGATCCGACGTTTTTTTATGTTAGGAAGAGAGGGGGATGACGTGGAGAAATAAAGACATAGATGATTGAGAGAGAGGGGGGGGGAGAGAGAGAGTGAGAAAAAGAGACAGA